ATCACCTAGGGCTGCGAGGTCGAAAAGCGACTACGTCTAACGCATTCCAAAATCGAACTGATCTTCTTTTTTATTTGCACGCGATCTTCGTCTTTTCTCAGTGGCTGTCGCCACAGTGCTTTTCACTCGTTTTGATCCATGTCAGAAAAGTAATGTGTGCTATGGAATGTGGTTATATACGCATTTGAACATTTGACCGCAGCACCCTCTCGTCTATAAACGTTGAGCCAATGCATGCCAAGTTTAACGCGATTATATACGCATTTGACCGCAGCGCCCTCTACTGTATAGACGTCGAGCGGGTACATGCATCTTTTCATTCATGGCATCCCCAGCTCTTGAGCTACTACCACATCTCAGAGCCCCCTAATCGTCCCGCAGTCGTTGCCGAGTGGTTAAGGGGATAGGCTAGAAATTCAATGGGGTCTCCCTGCACAGGTTCGAATCCTGTGGACTTCGCAAACATTTTTCTATATTTTTTTTTTAAAGACAGATGGGATGGCGATCTATGTAAGCACGAACGCCGAACGAACTTCGCCCCTAAAAAGAAGTATAAGAACGTACTCGCCAGCGTGTTGCTGAATGTCCTGCAAAGCGTATGAACGAAAAGAATTGCCTCCGTCCTTTACGCGAACGTATACTGGGTTGATGCCTAAGAGTGACGATGTTGTGAAACTTCGCCAAGTCACGGGCTACCGCCCGATCACGCTCTGTAATATGGATTACAAAGTTTTTGCGAAGATTTTAGCGCGACGGTTTCAAGGTGTAGCCTGTAGGCTTATTGGTAACCACCGAATGTGTTCGATTCAAGGCAGAACTATAATGACGAACGTGTATGTCGCACCTAGCCTGTTAGAAGCGGGTGATGGAGGCATGGGCCATATAGTCATGCTCCAAATCGTTCTGAATAAGGCGTTCGACCGTGTCAAGCATGATGTACGTTTTCATGTTTTCAAGTATGTAAATGTGGGTGATATTATATTGGAAGGTGCGAAAAAATGGCATATGAAGATTGTACCACAAGGCTTGTCGTAAACAAAGAGGTAACGGACCAAAGTGACGTGCCATGTGCGGTGACGGATGTCCCATGTCACCGCAGGTATTGAACATGTATTTAGAATTTTGTTGTTTATAGCCGATTCACACGACAGACTGAATCGCAATTTTCATCCGCGGACCGTGTACCACGTGACCGGCACGTCACCGATTCCTCCGATCCGCGCTTCGTCCGCGGACGCGCAGACTGATAAAGTCGTGCACCTTTTTGACTCACAGATGTTTGGCGGGAGATTAAGTTCAAAGGCTTTTAGTCTGGCAACGGTGCATGGTTTACTTGGTTTTTTGTTTCTGGACGATTAAAACAAAAATGGCGCACCGTTGTGTTTTGTGTGTTCGTTAGTTCATTTTATCGCGTGATAATTTGTTTCACGTGTGAAACTCCAGAAACTTTGTCCAGGTGCCGCGATGCAGCTTCCGGTACTCCTCCGGGTCCGTGTCAAGAAGCTCCCGTCAAAACTCGTCTAGCGCGCCGCTAATAGAGTGCAGGTCCAATCAGGATTTCACCGAGCAAGACCTCTCTTGTGGCTGTGGTGTACTTGAGTGCTGTGCACGAGCGTGGAGTGCGTGAAGGCATCTCTAAACGCCCCTCCGCGAGCCCAGAACTTCGTCGCTTCTACGGCGAAACCTTCTCGAGCAGGATAATGCCTGTGTCACTGCCATGCTTTGCGTTAATAAAGTTAATGGCGCTTCGCGCGAAGCTTATGCCGGTGTTTAGTCTCGATCTGTACATAACAGCGGCGTACGATTCTTTAGTGCGATAGCAAACATCGGTTTCTCTCTTGGACAACGGTGCCACGGTGCGATGTTGGAGTTTCGCGGCACTGCGGGGTGGCGAACAGGTTCGGTCCGTCCTCGCTGGCGTCTGCTCGTCGTTTCCCTCGTGTGGATGCGCTTGAGAGACGGACGAACGGCGGACATGTCGTCACGTGATCAATCCGTCCGCGGGTCAGTCCGTCGTGTGAATTGGCCTTTAAGTGTCTTGAATAGTAAAGATTGTCGGGGCTTCCGCCTGGACAATACCGAAACAAAGGCTACCAGTTATGCAGATATCGCGGTATTTTGCAGTGACAAGCTCAGCGTTAGTTCCGCTGTAGCTTTGGCTATATGTTTCTTTGAGTCTACTGTCACCGCTATAAATTGGAACAAGTACCGGGGGTTTTGACTCGGTGCATGGGCCACAACTCCTTCAGAGTACGAAGGCGGTATGGACCCCATGCTGTGCGCATACCTCGGCGTGCCTTTAAATTGTTACCGCGAGAGCAAAACCTAGTGGTTGGGGTCGCCACCGACCTGGCCAGCCGCGCTTTCCGATGGAAGCAACGTGATTTGTCTATCGTCTTGAGAGCGACAGTTTGCAACATTTTTTTTAAATTTTAATTTCAAAGATCTTGTATGTTTTGCAAGCGATCCACTGTGCTCGCGTAAAAGTCCAAAAGTTTCACAGTATTTTGCTTTGTTCATTTGGGGATCTCATTGGCAACGCATGAACCATGACAATCTTTTCACCAGGAGCATCACGGGGGACTTGGGCTTTCACATTTGTTTTTAGGCAACTCGTGTCTAGATTCTTTTTTTTTTTCGAAAACAGGAGCATCCCTTTATTCGAACGTTAATCCAGAACAAACTGGCACATCATCTGCTATCATTTATTGTTTACTCGCGTGGCGGCGAACCCACTCGGCTCGTGGGGTTTCAGAAGGAGGTCATTGACGCAGTTGGGGGTTTTGTCTGCTCGTCCTTCTTTTTGAATATTCGCCTCTTGGGAACAACAAAACGCTGACGCGCGATTTGGTAGTCAGTTTGTTTCCGACGCTACGGTATATAGAACTGTGTTTTGTAAAGGCAGCCAAGATATGCTGAAGAGAGTGAAAAGTATGTGAGTACCTCCTTCGGTAAAAACTTTTTTCTTAAGTTACGCGCCAATACGTTGCCGGTCAAAGTTTGCCTAAGGGAAAATAGTATTTATGTGCCGTGGATTGTGAGTTGTTTGTTATGTAAGCAACGTGAGACAATTGAAGATGTTTTTATTGTTTGCTAAATGCCGTATTTTTCTGGGATGTGCTCCAGCGCACGCTTAAGAAAGAACTACCCGATCGGGCATTCGTTTGTTGAATGGATGTAATGACAACTGCGTACCTTTAGATATGTTTCTTTTTCTATGCTGGGTTTTTTCAGCATATCGTGGTCGCGAATGGCAGTGCCGCAGCCGACCTCAAGGTGCAAGAAGTCTGCTTCTATTTTTTTCAACCTCGTGAAGCAAGTAGAAGGTGTGTTTACCACCAGCGATCCTAAGCACGAGGGCTCGGCCTTTGTAGGTGCCTTCTCGAGATGAGAAATTTTAAAAATGTGCTAAAAAAGCTTTGCACTACATTATTAATCTGTCTTGACATTGACTGTTTGCTTTTTGAAATAAGAAAAAAAAAAGCGAGAGTTTACGTGGCCGAATAGTTGAATAAAGAAACAAAAAAAGAAAAAAGCGTGGCCGAATGGTTACCGCGCTCGACAGCCGCGCGGAAGATCTGGGCTCGATTCCATGTTGCGGAATGTTCTTTTATTTATTCTTTCTACTTGTCGTTGTCGCAAGTTCGACAAATTTTCCGTCTCATAGAGTTACGAATGTCGTACGCGCCGAACGTTCTAGGCCGAATGTTCCAGAACCCAAGCCGGTACAAAAGGTGCTCCGTGTGGCGGGCCGGAGTCAGTCTCGACCGAGCGTTCGATCCTGCTGTTAATGCCGACTTCGACGGCCGCGACGCTCTGATGAACTCTTCTGCTTCCTTTTTGTTTGGGACACAAGTTCGCCCTATTAAACGTTGAGTTTCTTCAGTTATCATCGCCTCCTCAATTGTCATTCGTGACAATATCATCAAGATTATGAAAAGCGGAAATATATTCAGGGTGACATGAAAAGGAGATATCAATTACGGAACTCCCTCACGTAGGATTAAGGACAATTTGAGTAAGGTTGCAAAACGAAATAACTTACACAAACCATTTGCTTTCCGACGAATCATAACAGGCTAGGCGTAGTAAACACTTGCTACATTTGATACCTGGATAGTTAAAGTGGCCGGTCAAAACTACCGTGCACTTAGTGTAGCTGTAGACTGTACAGTGTCTGTCAGCCCCCACTTGTCATTCTCGAACCTTTCTTTTATTATTGGGTAACAGCCACCATTGTAAGCGAGTTTTAATTGCTGTTTCACCGCAACGTTGTCCTTCTGTTTTATGTCTTTGGTAGTGTTTCTTTGCAATGGCGAGTACCAAGAACGACAGGCAGTTCTGGGCCCCAAATAAATTGATCCTTCATTCATGATGTCGTTATGGTATTATCATTATTACTTTGAAGTGCCCACAAATATTTCCGGTGTAGTCCTCAACAACTAAGAACGATCATTTCGCAATACAAATGCAAGAAGCATCCTGCTCAACATATTTGAATGAAACTTCATTCAGTCACATGTGAAAACATTCCAGATTGCTTATCTGGTATATTCCTGGACTTTCGATATACAGCGTTAAAAAAAAAAATTCGATGCGATTAGCAAACGTACCAGAAGTTATAAAATAATATTACCTCATAAAAATTTTATTAATTTGGAATACCATCTTAAATTATCTCGTATGTTTATTGAACACATTTTTTTAACTGGTTTTCCACAAAGATTTTTTTTGTTTCCCCCCCTTTTTTTTTTTGTCCACCTATCTTACCAGTACAAACACGTAATGAATCAGCTTGACCCTTGTTCATATAGAATCCTGGCAGAGAAGTGATCGCCGCCGATAAACGGTCGTTTTTTTTTCTTTTTCAGACGAGCTATTGTGTAAGGAAGAAAACAATTGATGCTCCAATCAATCCTTTATCTTATCCTGAATCCCTCCATTTTCATAATTGCTCTTTGTGCAACAGGTACAGTACGTCGATGGCGAGCGGGTGACTGGCACGTGATATCCAGTGCACATAAAGCGCACATATTGCATCACGGTGCAGAGAAGACATTTCTAGAGTACAAGGCATGGCCTCGCCCTTTCCCTTCCATCTCGCTGTAGCACTTCTACTCGTGCTGGTGAGTCTGCCTTTCTTGTAACTGGGGTCTCGTGAGGTTTTATGCTCGAACCCTCCGCAATCCCGTTCCCGCGTAAGATCTGTGGTCTCGCCGTCGTTCATATCACCTTGCGTGTTATCAGCAACGTCACAAGGGGGGGGGGGGGGGGGGGGGGGGTGTCGCGGAGGGGCAACCGACCTGGGTGTCACTGCGTGCTCGTTAGCATCACTTCCCAGTTTCGTTCTAAACGCGCTTCCAAATCGAACCGCATCCGAATCAAAAAGCAAATGAAAACTATGATTTTTGAACAAATTCGAGCTAAACCGAAGCTTTAAATGAACATTTGATATTAAAGCCGAACCGGAACGAAGTCCGTACCGCATGTGGCGGAGAGCGGCTCATGAGAAAACGGTTCGGTATAATGAAATGCGTGGCGCACTTTCTTGGCGGGTGGCCGGCCCCGGGTGGGGGGGGGGGGGGGGGGGGGGGGGGGTGGCAGTTAGCAGCGCAGTCTTCTATAAATAAACGGCACTGACGTGTAGGCCAGTAATGAGTACATCAACAAATAAGTAGGTTTTGCGTACATATAAAACACAAAGGGGCGGCTTCGGCGTTCTGGCGTGTAGCGGAGGTGTAAATCTATAGGTAGCTATGCAAAGATGCTAATGAGGTAATTCGTGTTTTGTCGTGTGGGTACTAAACAGCGATTACCAAAGAAAAAAGAAGACAAATGTAATAGACGTTATAATGAAATCGACTGCATGTTTGGTTATTTTGCCAAACGTGTTTAATGATGGTAGCCATATGGGGTGGGTGGTGTTCTGACTTCGTGTGGTGCGTAAAGGGCAGGATGACCCTTAGTCTTTCAGTGCCTGTGTTGGGCCGTGCTCTTAGTTCGCGTAGCGCCTGCGTCAGGGTTTTGAATGGAAACAAATTACCCACTCATTCTTTCCCATTCAAGCTAAATATCAAGAATCTTACTGTGGCAATTCTAACTAGAGGTTTTGCAGTCACCAAAGTGTATTCATCTCTTGATTTCAGGTCCATCAGCAAGCCGGTGAGTAAGCGAAGCTCTTACCTTTTGCAGCTTCCCTTTCTGCTCGAGATAAATCAAGAATGAAACCTTTGATGTCCATGGTTACTGAGGAGCAACATTGCAAACTATATTTTTGACGCTATTAAACTGTCGCTTGAAAACAGAAATGCCCATTGTATCTCTCAGCCAAGCTATCTTGTTTAATACAGAGCAACAAAGATTGCAGTGTGCGTCTTCTTGCTATCCTACGGAACTTTTTGTTTGGGTTATTTGCTATATGTATTTGAAGATGCCACCAATGTGCACACGATTCTAAATGTCACTACCTACATTGTTCGTTTATAAAAAGTTATCTGAAAGTGATTTTGAATTATAAGAACAGTGGCGGCATTAGCATATATAGTAATACTTCATGTGTAGCTAACTACCGCGTGGAAAATGAACGTTTGTTGCTATGAAGCAACATTGGTAATTCGCGTCACTGCTTCTTCGGAAGATTATGCTCGAGACTTAATCATGTTGTTCTATTATCATATACAGTGTGCACAGTCAACACAATTGCTATTTGTACGTTCGTGATGACTTGGTAAAACATTTGTGAATGACAGGCTGCCAGCGTGCTTACACATCTTTGAGTAGCTTTTTTTTTCTGCTTCACTTGTTTGTTTAAATTCTTCTTGAGCCACCACCTGTCGTAGCATTTCATTTGGTATGACTTTAGAAAAAAATTGTGACGCTTTCTCGCTGGGTTTTTTCACTGCTTGGATGAAAGGTATCACACAGAAGCGAAGACTTACTAAAAAGGTTTCTGGGTATTTTTGTTTTTCTGGCGGGAATACATACTGCAGTGAGTGCAGCAGGCATGCATGCGTAATTTTCAGCAAAACCTGGTACAAAGATTTGGATGCTAAATAAAAAAAATATAACGGCGCAGCATTTCCCAGGCAGAACATTTCACAATGGCAAAACCAGAAAAAATAAATGGTTATTGTTTTTACTAATTGCTTTTTTCTTACATTCCTTAATCAAACCCGGAGTATGTATTTGTATTTTTTTATGAAGAAAGAGTTTGGCATGAAAGGGTTAACACGAACTGAGAATCAGACAGATGCTGAGCACTTTAAATTAAATATATTTTACTGGTTTCTTCAGGACACAAAACTAACGTTTTATTTGCCAAAATATATAAAATTGTTTGAAAACATTCCTACTGACATTGCATTTTGTAGGTTATGGTTTAACTACTTTACTGCCTTTACTGTCAGTCATACATTTTTTATTTTTACTGATTTCATAGCTTGGAGTGGTCAACAACATATTTATTTGTTATATCTTATCATATAACCTTAAATTTACAAGGAGATAACGTTCCGAATAGGTGGGGCTTTTGTTTCCGGTTAACGATGGTTAGATATTTGTTAAATAAAAAGCGAAACACCACAACAATAAAAGTGTGCTAATTTCAATAGAGCAATACGAAATTCATCTGAGATGTTGATGACAATGCTGTTCCTTGATCTGCGCTTAAGTTAACAAGTTCTCAGTGGTCGACGAAGCATGCGTCAGGCATTTCCACTTGAGTGTAACTGAGAGCGTTACAACTGCATAAGACTGCTCAAAACCCTGGCCTACCACCTGCTTGCCTGCGCTTTCTAATTTTGTACGCATTTTCTTTTTCTACCCTTGGCTTAAAACGATTGTGGCAGTGTTATATGCGACCATTTTCGATAGATAATTCGTAGACCTGAACTTCGAAAACAGTTAAAAACTTTAGTTCTTTTTCAAGACCGGAAACGGTAAATCGCTGTAGAAGCGTAGAAATCTGGGCGAGCTGGTGATACATCGGAACGAAAATACAACGGAAACAGACGCGGTGCTATCCGCGCGCTCTTTGCACGCGGATGCCAAAGCGTTTGAAGTCCGCGCAACGTATGGTTGTAACATGTAAGGAGTGGTAATGCAGCTCGTCACGTTCGGACACATATGTTTGATTTAAGCTTATGCTTAAATGAACATATTTAAACAGGTGTGAACTACAACGTTAATATGTCACCGATATATTCGAATGGATAAAATATTTTTGACATGCCTAAGTACGAAGCGGAAAATTCATAGCGATGCCCTTTTTATCTTTGGGTGGTGCCTTTAATCATGTACCAAATAATGCCGGTGAAGTGAATATTTGACAATATGTTGGTTTGAAAACAGGAGATATTAATTTAGACTGTCCATTCATTGCATTACAAAACCCTAAGTATTTCTCGCTTCCCTTAACAGCAGGGGAACAACATACCTTTGATCTCAACAAGGAGGTGGAGAGGTTCGTAAAGCGCAAGGGCAAGGAGGTCTTAAGGGAAATAGTCTGGTGGGACGTTCATGGGAAACAGGAAGAAGTCAAGCAAGGCCGTCGCAAGTACCCACCGTGAGTCATTAAAATATATTGCAGCGCCCCTGCGTAGCCGTTTGTTGTTCTTATGTTTCCACGCTAGGTTGTTTCTCGATTTATTTCTCGGCGTGAACAAGATATTGATTTTTTGAGGACTATAGTGGGAGTAAGATTGTGTAATGCTTTACATGAGTTTGTTGTTTCCACTAGCAACCTTCAACGAACAATGGTTCGAAGCTTTTTGTTTAAAAAGGTTACGGCATTTCAGTTTTTAAAAGTACGTTTCTCATTATAGTATTTAAGTGTCATCGACAATACCAGGCTACCGTTCTTTATACCGGGACGGTCCCGGGAAAGATGTCCTCAAAAGACTTAAAAACAAAATGCCGGTAATGCCACCTGTAAAATTTTGTTGTTGTTGTTGTTGTTTAAGTTGATAGTGTTGCTATTCCCGGAAAGCCCTGGCTTCAAAAGAAAGGTCTCTTTGTGCCATGGTCTGTCGAGAACCGGAAACTGTAGAGCATAACTTTCTTGAGTTTCGGGGCGCTGTTTTTCTTTGGGACATTCTGCAACGCACCTTGAAATACGACCTGCCGGTAATAACATTCGGTATTTGTTTTCTCTCCATAAAAAAACAAGCAAAAGGAGCGTACCTTACGACATGTTCATGCTGTTGAGCCTACACAGTCTACGGAGAACTAGGATGGCTCTACGACATGCCGATGTGACCCCTCGTCAAGCAAGGGACTATTTCTTCGAAAGCGTAGTTCTTCTAAGGATGTTTATGGGACGCTGATCGGGCAACTTGAATGGGCTTCAGTGCTCGACAGGTCGGTTTCCCTGAGACCATTTTACACCTCGTATGTCAACGAAAAACTGGCTGGCGGTTTTAGCATTCTGTCGGAGTGAATGTGTTGTCCATGTTAACTGAAAAAGTAATAAAGAAAAAAAAAAAAAAAAAAAAAAAACTGACGTAGCCGAGTAAGCAACGCGCTTGCCCACACGCAGGTGGCTTGGATTTGATTCCCGGCCCTGAATGTGCTTTAGCTTTCAGTTTCTAAGCAGAATATTCGAGAAGGTTGGAAAACCGTCTAGCTTGTTAATATTAAGGTTTTAGAGTTGATGAATGATTGAGGGACAATATATACTCCTTTCGAAACGCTCCCCTATTGGCAGGTGTTAAATTTCTGCCCAATGGTGGTTTTAATCTGGAACGCCACGGCACACTTTATGTGCTTGGTTGTGTTAAAAGTCACACAAAAAAAGGTGATGAGCAGAGGGACGTTTCACTTTTGACAGTTTTTGATTGACTCGTTGGCTCCTAGCGTTGGCTGCGCTCAGATGTTCACTATATCATAGAATCACTTGCACGTTCCAAGACGTCAGTGGTTTCGCCATTTTGCACTGGTTCCTACCTCCTAATAATTGGCACGTAGCTTTCGAAAGAAGTCTTTTCTAGGCTCCCAGGGAAGGCTTAGAAGGACCTGCACCGCGCCGGATAAGCCAGTCTTCCGCCTGCGCTCGGTGCTGCAGTTGCGCCGCCATTTTTGCATGTTATCGTCCGCTCAATCTTATTTAGTTTGAGCACAGGTTCAACCTATTGAACGTTTAATTTACTACAGTGTTGCATTATCTCATTAATTGTCATTCGCGACAATATGCACATTCTGGACACCATAAAAGATGTGACGTCGTTGCTAATGCTTAATTAGCTCCAGGACCCGTTTGCTCGAAGCTGGTTTACTTTAACCGTGGCAAAAGCTTAACCGCCCTTCCCTACTAGGTACGTACAAGTACCTAGTCAAGTTTTACGAGGAGTGAATGCGCGATAGCTCCGTTTTGTTTATGGGGCGGTAGCTTGTGTCACTTTCTGGTTTTAGCGAATACAAGTGGTTTTCGTAAAAAAACATTCTGGAAAGGGAGCGACAGGGTACGCGCGCTGGTGGGTCTTCGCGACGCAGCGCGGCAACCATTTGAGCTTAAGGAAAATATTTTTATTGCTCCTGGTACAACTAATGAGTAACGTAAACCAAAATAAGCCCAGGTTGGGCAAATATTTCATGTTCGGCTCTTTGAAATCGGAACAAGTATCGTTGAGATGTCCTTCCCCGTGCGAAAGGGGACGACCTAGAAACGATGACAAAGAAGTGATCAGTGAAATGCAGGTGGCGCACCGACAGCATGCATGGCTGACCAGTATGTGAGAGCTGCACATAAAACCTTCTCCATAAAATGAAAATCGTGGACTTCGGGTCTAGTGGAATTTGACTCGCGGTCTTCTTCTGTGTGTCATCAGTGTCCGGCGGATTGAGTCAAGACAATATACTAGGATTTCAGTTCCGTTGCCATGTCGACTTTTGCCGAAATTCTTTAGGCTTAGAAAAGGTAAAAATTGAAAGACGGTAGAGAAATGGTCTGAGATCATTGCTTAAACTTTGCTATTTAAGTGATTTAAGACAAAGTGAAAGCCTTTTGCACCATTCATTGCTTACAAACCTGCCCGGTAGTGCAGCGACTACGAGATATTAGTTCCAAATCGAGCGATGCTCGCTGGGAGGGGCGCCGCCATGTTTCGCCGCCGGTCCTGTTCTCCTAGATACGTGGCCTAATATTCCTCCTGGCAGTAAAATGCGGTTAACTATCTGCCTCGGTTAAAGTTAACTAGCTTTCAGCAAAACGGTTTTTACTTTGGTATTCGCGATAGCATTCGGATGCTGTGTAGAAAGGCAACATATACCAAAAGACCCAAACCCAACTAATAAATTGCTGCAAACTAAATAAGAAAAAAATTATGACTTAGTTGTGTCGACTGTTTATCAGGTGGTTATTGCGATATGACCCTTCGTGACGGCCAAATAGGTTCTTAATATTAATAATAAACAACTTTGTTTATAACGCATCAAAAATGATTAGATACTATCCCTGGCAGGCTTAGTCAATTTTTTTATCTCAATAAAACCGTGTGAACTACACGAAGTAAAACGCTTACTGCAAAAACCAAGCCTTTCAGATGCGTACGCATTTAAATGTTTTAGTTCCCCTCTACGTGCAGCCGTATTGTGTTTGGATGGTCGCGGTTTGGAACCGACTCGTCAGGGCTGGAATGGACTAGTCTGGATGGGTTTCGTCGCGCCGCGATTCCCGCCGTGTTGCTTGGCTTCATTCGTTCGCTCGTTTCACCCTCTTTTCTACTTGAGTCTTTCGTATGCCCCGCCGTGCACTCTCGCTGCGTTCGTTCGTTCGAGTTTCTTCTCAGTGAAGTGCGGCACTGCGTGCACGGTGTTGGATTTCCGTTTCCACTGTAAAATCACGCCACTTGAAACTGCTCTTTGGTCGGCCGCGTGTGAACCTGGTTTAAGAGGCGTTTCTGAGGCTTAAACCAACACAGGATCAAGGATAAATGCTACCGCGTTTTGTCGAGGGTCAGTGTCGCGGCGGCAGCACTTTAAGGCCTCTTTTTTGTGCTTTATTCAATTTGTAGGATAGCCTGCATTGAGACATTTTTGACAGTGGACAAATGCTTGTTTTGTTTTAAATACCGAAGTGCAATGCTATAAAAATGTATCACTAAACCTTCTGGGCTCTTCATTGTAAAATGTAAGAAAGAGACAACGAAAAATGGTCAATGACAAAACAAAAAGTTTGACCAGCCGGTAAAGTTCCTATGGAGAATTGAAGCGTACGTGCGCCACGGGAGACATTTGGCAGAAATGTGACAATGAAGTTATTGTAAGGTTTTCTAAAAAAAAACTGCTCTAATGAACGCAAAGTTTTTCTGCACCAGCCTGGTGCCCCAGATAACCCCTTCTCGCCATTCAAATAAACTTGATGTCAGCGTTCAACTTGAAAGTAAAGAAAAAGCATAAACACAGTGGCAGCAGTTTATTTTTATTTTTTTTTGCACACGAGCCTGTGTCGCACGGTGTTCAAGCGAAATAACCAATATTGAGTGTGACACTCATTGGGGGTGGTTTCATTTGAAGTGGAACCGGCTCGTCAGAGTAAGTATTTTGAGTTGCCTCAAAAATATATAATATAGCCCTCCTAACGTAGCGAAAAAAGCGACTGTTTCAAAGGTTCCTACTGTCCCCACAAATATTCGGAAAAGGAGCAAGAAGAAATGCTACAGTTTGGCTGCTTAATTTTCGTATACTCTTATGTCGATTGTTCTACATAGGCAACAAAAAAACACTCACAGAAATGTTTTGTGCACATCTATCACATACGATTTTTTTTTTATAAACAAGACTCCTTTGTCTTATTGTACGTAATATATTAAAAAAAACACCAGAACATCGCATTTTTGACGTTTTTGTGATACATTTGGGGTCTTTTAAGATCCATTATAAATTTTGCTTACTAAATCCTATTCGACTGCAGGCCTGTGTATGTTCTATTTACTGGTTTATTTATTTCCACGATTTCAAGAACACAAAGATTTACTGCACAACATGCTGCTCCAGATAACCCCTTTTTACCATTCAAATAAGTTTGATGTCAGCGCTCGCCGTTAAGATAGCAGTGAGAGAAGGGCGAATGGGAATTTTGGCGAGGAGGAGTTTCACCCTGGTTGAAGAATACTTTGCAGATCGGTCTTTAAGCAAGGGTTACTAAAATGTGTTCTCTTCTTGTTGTAGCTTCGATATAAGTGATCAAAAACACGTACAATGATCCAAATCGGCGCAAGGGTGCTGAAGTTGGCTTTACCGAAAATATTGTTTTTTTTTTTACATCAAGGTGCTGAATGGCACGGGTCGCAAATTATGGAAAAGGGCGGGGGGCGGAGGAAGGCGCGACGGTAGCTGATGGTGAAGAAGAGTTTATAGGGAGAGGATTATATGGTGTTGGCGTCTGGGAGGGTGACGACCTCAGGTGCGGAACCAAGAGTCGGGGCTGTGGCTCGCTGCTAGCATGGCCCCGAGGATACAGGCTTGGAGTAGTGCTACTGAAGTAGAACTTTTATGTACATTGAATATACAACTAGCATGGTGGACTGGTTAATCGGCTATCGGCAGTCAGCAGTCGGCAGTCCGCGCCTTCGGGCTCTCTGAGCCCAAGTTATATAACCCTCCGAGAGCGAGAAGTCCCGCGGAGCGAGAGGGGAGCCTTCCCCGGCATTCGAGTGCTCACGTGGTGTTCGAAGTTCGGGGCGGCTGATGCAATTTCCGGGTGTTCTTTCACCAAGGGCAGATGATGCAATCCCTTCACGTTCTTGCCCCGCTTCGGTGGCTGATGCAAGGAGTCGACGCCCTTGCTGAAACCCAACACCGACGGACACACACAAAGGCACGCACACGCACGCCGGTGCTTCTCCTTCAGAATGCTGGCGGTCCCAGATGGTCTCGTGGCCCCCGGGAGACGTTCTTTTTGTATTTGGAGCCCTCCTTGAAAGCCACCACCGGCCCGATGACTCAAGGGTCGGTCTCGGGAATGCGAACGTGACTGTCTAGCGCCGTTGGCGCGCGCCGCGGGGCCCATCGTGTCAATAGGCTTTGCTGCCTTTGGTGACAGGTAAAGGCCAGGTCCGGGGTCCTTTCACAACAATGGACATACTGCTTTTAGGAATAAAATGTCTGCTCTACACTTTTGTTTCTGCAAAAAAATAAAAGACGTTTATAACTTCCAGTAATGCCGAATTACAGCGCAGCTATTGAGGAGGGGAAGGGAAGTGTAGGGAGAGGAGGGTATGCCCCGCCTCCTCCCTTCTCTCTCCTCCCGTCCTCCTCCTCTCCTCCTGCTTTGTCCTCCTCTCCTGCTCCTGTCCTTTTTCCCTCTCCTGCTCTTCGATCCTCCTCCCTCCTCCTCCTCTCATTCTCGACCCCTTCTCCTCCCCCTCCTCCTCCCCTTTCCTCAGTTCCCCCTCGTGACGTCATTCGTGAAGGTCGTGACCTACACGAGAGAAGGTCACGTGAAGGTCGTGACCTTCTGGAGACCTTCACAGTGAAGATTGTGGCCTTCGTCATGACCTTCACGAGTGTCCTTCGTGACGTCACTTGCAACCCTCGGGACCGTCGGGCGTACTTGTGACCGTCGTGACGTCATTCGTGACCCTCGTAACGTCACATTTGACGTCCTTCTGGGAAACGTCCCATGATGCAACGTGCGGGTCATGAGTGACTCACGCGTTGCATCATGGGACGTTTCCCATAATGCAACCCGCGGTTTCGCCGACGGCGACGACGTTGGCGATGCCGCCCAAGCCGGAAACGGGCGAACAAGAGCTGCGCTCTAAACCAGGCTAAAATTGTACCGTACACGTAGAGACATACAGTTTGTTTTCAGTTGATTTTGATTGATTTCAGACAGAGCGATTAAGATGTTGTAATCTCAGTTAAGGCTTTCAAGAACATCAGGTATATCTCACGAATAGATAATTTCATATACAGGTATATATTTATACAACGACTTCCTCCGTAGGATGCCTAATGACCTTTATGCCATAATTCATGTTTGGACTACAACTGTAACAATAAAGACCGTCCTTGTGTGGTATTCAGTGTCTAGCCCAGTAACTATAGGATGGCCTTCCACATACGGTAAAAATGCTACGATTTCCGCTACCGAAAGTGGATCTGCAGTTATGTCCGTATTCACAGCAGGTAGTTTGATGCTTCGGGAATTGATTGGGCAGTACCGATACGCTGATAGAAGTGAGTACCTGAAGCTGGCATTTCTTCCGGTGAAACAACGGCTTGACAAAATGTTGATGCACATTGAGCCAGAACTTACCACACGCGAGGCAGGAGCCATCAACTGAAAGGCCTCAGTTGTTTGCTCTTGTTTAATAGGCAGCACCTAATTTCCTATGAACATTTCGACAGAATGCTTCTTTTATTTCGTCTCACTTTCTCTTCAGCTATAATTGTTTCATTCCTTTTTTATACACCGACAAACAGCTTTGTAGAATCGTACCTTGAACGCTTCCAGGAATTTCCTCTTTTAAGTATATGAGCATATGACGTGTATGACCCTTGCCTGTTCCTTGCCGTTTTTCGCGTCTATCACATAAAGAAGAATTTTCGCCCGAAATGTTGTGTATGCCTTCCTGTCCACGCATTTTTGTTTTGAGTAGCACAACGATGTAGTTGCGATTTCGTGTTATGTAAATGACCTCAACTTACTTATATGTACTTTTAAATATATAAGCTCAACTTACTTTCACAGACGCAAAAAGTTTCTGGCCTGACGTACAATGATATTCTGGCTACAGCACGTTTGGATTCCTCATCGTAGCAGTGGTGTTTGGAGACAAGGCTGACCTCTGGAGATCCAAATTGAGGATCTTTTTCACGGACCGAAACCGTTCATTTGGATGTAGCTACTTGTTATGTCGCATCGTAAATCCTCGAACAAATCTGGGAACGAGAGCCATTTATATAGCTGGCCACAAGGAACTTCCAATGTAAAGTGATACAGCTGGGGCTGGGAATGATAGCTGCAACATCAAGACTGCCGGTTGCAGATCTCGTCTTACGTTTTTTTAGCATCTGTTCATATCGAGACGGTACACCCTTCGGAGAGCCAAAGCTGCCATGCAAATAAAAAAGGCTAAATTCACAGGCGAGCTGGTGAAGAACTTCCATAGACATCCGCGACCCGGATTGATAAAAAAGGACAAAGCTACAACAAGTCGGAAACACAGCGTGTAGTTTATGTAAACAACGAACGCTCTTATATATGCGCCAATACCCTCACCACAAAAAAAAAAAAGAAACGAAACACCTCGTCACCACTAGGTCAGCGAGAGCCGGAAACTCCGTGAGATCCGAATGATTCATGCTGCCCCTTCCTTTCACATCAACTACCCACCCTGACGACCTCATTTGAGTATCACCAAGAGCATGAGCACGACATGCGATAACAAGCAACTCGAGCATAACCCTTAGATCTAGAAGTTTATATAAATTATCACGTAAAAAATAAATTAAGATAAAGTGCTACTAGTCGATAGCACATGCCTAGGTTTACAGGTGTATAGTATTTAGCAAGAAAAAGTTATGTCAAATCGTAAGACATAAAGCTCCCTCAGTGGGTGACATGTGAAGAGTTCAAAGCGAAGAAAAGGAAGGCTGGGAAGGAGAAAGCCGACGGAATGCTGGAGCGAGCCGGTTGTCTCCTCCTCTTTTCTCCAGCAATCCATCTGCTTCCTCCTCCCCAGCTTTCCTTTCCCTCACCCTGAATTCTCACCCTGTCACCGACTGCAGTATGTCACCAAAACGGCAAAGATTCGAAGTTTTCAATTTTCCATTTCTGCCGTAAAAAATAGCAAAGTAATTCAACTCGAAAAGAAAAAAAAAAAACTGTAGGCCACGCGTTATTCATTAACAGCCACACTTATAGTGGGTATTTAACGTTTTTGTCCTGTTTATGACAACCGACAGCAATGAATACAAAAATCACGCAGTCAGAATGTAGTGCTTCACCCTGCTCCACTTGAAAAGGATTTTTTGCTTTACAGATTTGTTTAAAAAGCCGCGACAGTTACACTTACGTGGTTTGTGCAGGTGAGTTATACGGCCAGGGGGATATTATGTGGATGGCTAATCTTTGCGATATGTCCGCTAGTGGCGGTGGGCGATGATAATATTATAGTCCGCGTTCCGCCACTGCTAGCTTTGCGCCTGCTTCACGAGTCATAACTTTGACGCACCTCCGAGTTTCCCACGAGCTTCAAGTCGATCTAAAAGGAGTTGATGTAGTGGTTTTCGATGACGCTCAGTAAGATTCTAATTGAAATCATATGTACACCTTAAATATTAAAAAGGTAATTAACGAATTTTAATCAATTAGCCAACTTATCGCAAAGATTAGCCACCCAGATAATGTCTCCCTGGTCGTATAACTCACCTGCACTAACCGCATAAGTGCAACTTTCACGTCTCTTTTTCTAAACAAATCTGTAGAGATTAAAAAAAAACATATGCATACATATATAAGAGCAATAATCGAAATACCTACCCCAACAAGGTTTTTCAATTTCAAAAGAAACCGCCCTGGTAATACCTGCAAAGCAGTAAGCATCCTTCTTTCAATCACCTTAGACCCAAGTCTCTTGTCGCGACGCACGTTGCGAGTAACACAAACAAGTTAACAAGCTCTTCCCCATCAACAGGGTGACTGCGACAGCGGGACCTGTGGTGTACGGTGCAACGAAGAGCTCAGCAAAGCGACCAAACGTGGTATATACTCAGTGGGTCCACAATGGGCAGGCGTCTTCATCCCAGACGACCACCATCGAAAGAAAGACCGAGCACAAGAAGACAGCCACCTGGCACGTTGAAACTGGTTTCAGTTATTCCGGCTCCGTGACAGCCAGTGCCAGTTTTTTTATTGTGAACATTGAAACCAAGCACCAAATAAGCTTGGACTTGAAAGGGGGATACCGAGAAGAAGTGTCTGACACCGAGACATTCTCGGTAAATCACGTCGTCACCGTGCCTCCCATGAAGTCCGTCAAGATTGACTGGATTATTACAGATGCCGAGCAGGTATGTTACGCCCGGATGAATTTCGTTGTTGAGATGGCCATCACAGGCACCGAACTTGATCCGCTTGAACAATGCAGTTGATATCGAAGTTGGGGTATGTTGAAGTTGGTAGTATATCAATAAGGCTAAGTGAACAGGAGGTCGTGAGGACAAGGGAGATTGGTTTTTATTTTTTTTTAGGGAATGGCACAGTCAAGAGCTGTGGCCGAACATACAGACTAAAAATACAAAGTCGCGGCGCATTCACTGCGCTTCATAGAACACGTAGATAAATTAAAGACGCCGTGACCTTGTGGTTTTGGTGCTGTTCGCTCATGCTCCGATCCACATAAAGTTCAACCGGAGCCAATACCAGAATCCGACCGGAGCCAATCCAGCAGTTCTAAACGTGCATCGTCACGGAGCTCGTTGTATTTGTGTACTAAGACTCATTTACTGTGCGTGATTGCTTGACTAATTGGTTATTTGATTAATTGGCCAAATTTTGAACGTCATTTGACGTTAATGATGCATTTTTATGGCTCAAGGCTTTATTGTCTTACTTATGCGGAATGCAAGTTCATCTGCCTCGTTTGCAGGGGTTGTGTTGAGCTCAGAACGCCGAGCACCAACTGGTTCTGAGTGAAGAATGGTGGGTCAACCTCAAGGCAGCTTGCTTTGAAGCCTACGCACTATCCTTCAACCAGAGTCAATCAGAGATCGGCGCGCCTTTCTGACGTCGCCGCAACTCCCGCGCAGGAAGCAGACGACTTGCCCTCCGCATTATTGCTGCATTAGCTTTTTGTTGATTTTGTGGCGTAAGTAGGAAAATACGTTGATCTTGCAGTGCTTTCAGGTTGTTGGCCCTCTATCGGTCAATAAATTATTTCTAGCGATTAGTAAAGCGTTTGTGTTCGTATTTGTTTTTTAGAGCGCAGCTCTTAGGTGCCCGTTTCCGGCTTGAGCGGCGTCAGCGTAACTGCGGGGAACATTTTCCGCTAAATTTAGCGGTAAAAATTTTCCGCCAACTTTAGCAGGGAAACTTTTTCCTCTAAATTTAACGAAACAATTTCACCGCTGAAGTTAGCGGAAAACTTTCCTTGCTAGATTTAGCGGGGATTTTTTTCCGCTAAATTTAGCGGGGAAATGTTTTTGCTAAATTTAGGGGAAAATTTTCCCCTAAATGGAGGCGAACAGAAGAGGAGAAGGGGCATAGACTCCTCTCCGTACTTTCCCCTCCTCCTCCTCCTCGAGAGCTGCGCTCTAATTCAGCGCTACAGGGGATTTAAACGTCATTCATTTTTTTTTTAACAGGAAGTTCCTTGGACGTCTACCGTGACCCTAACCGGACATATCGCTATCAAGTACAAGGAAAAACTCGAAGGTGGCTTCTTCTGGTATTACAACCTCTTCAATCTCCAAGATTCCCGTCTTAGGCATGCAGGAAACGATACGTACCTATACACTGCTAGAGGTACGTTTACGGCAGTCAAGGCACACGAGAATCACCTTCGCGTCACAGAGCATGATTATCAGGCGTACGGAGGAAGGTCTTCGGAGGTCAGAACATACATCCTTCCTTTGAGCCTGACACCGCATACGCCTGCGGCGAAGACTATGTGATACTTAAAATCTCATTAATCCGAATAAAATAAATATTCTTTAGGGGAGACATTTGAGAGTAACCCCTTTGTGTTCATAAAAGAAAAAAAAAGTGGAAAATTATTCTAGTACCCTCAGGCTTCATTTGAAAAAAAAATGTATATAAATCACAATGGCAGAATTATTTTTTCATCTCATTGAAGCATATGCAGAAAATCAGCGACCAAATACTTAAAAAATAAAAGTATTACGCGGTTTGTGCTTTGTAATAAATAATTCGCTTAACCGGCAGCAGGTAAGAGTGAAAATGGTCAGTAAGCAGCATCACCTGACGTGTGTCTCTCACTCAGACATCATGAGGTGGACTCAATGAAATAAATACACGAGAGAAAGAATAAACCTCACATTTTCCACCCATGGCTACTTTCCACGATTTCTAAAATTGGGTCATATGAATGGATGGATGTCGTTTAGTTTACTCAGAAAACGTCTACTCTAATATTGCTTAGAGCAATTCCTATTTTATTGGTACGATATTGCAATGGACTGATGCGCTCTTATAGTTTGAACATCTGGCGGTAGAATATTACAACTGGCTGTCTCCGTTGAATAGGCTCGAATTATGTTCCTGTTGGAACGTGCCTACACTTGTCAATTTGGACAACCAAGTCCAGCCTGCCAACCGATTTCTACGCGTGAACAGAGTAAACTGCAGCGGGTGTTTCGATCCCCAATGTTTGGCTCTATGAGCCATCCTGAAATCTTTTCACTGTATGTATACGCTAAGCATATGAAATTCGGAATGGTTTTCTTTTGAAAATATATTTGAGTTGATAAGACCCAACGTTTCCTTCAGAACAAAAATGAGCAAGTTTTAATTTATCAGCGTAGCGAGTGCGGAGGTTGAGCGGTACCGAACCCCATTAGTGATCCGGGTTAAGAGCCTCAAGGGCTGCGCGGATAGCTCTGACCCTGAATGACCACTTGAACGTGATACTTCTCGCTTAATTAACGGTCAGATTAGTGATCGGTGTTAAGAGATGCCATTGTTCCTGGCATCATAAAAAATGACAGCGTCCTTTATCTTCACATTGCTATAATGCATGAAATGCGATATCCCTGGAGCGATCGTTTGAATTTGTTTAGTAGACATTTAACAGTCGTTTCAGCGAGTGAAGCACCCACATTTTTATGAATTCCTGCTTTATTTGAACCAGAAAAACTAACTTGGTAAAAAAGGTCACGTGTCGTAAAGTTTTCGCTAAATTTGATGGGAAACCAAATTGGTTTATAGGTAGCGAAACGTTAGGCCACGTGACAAAGTTTTCCCCGTAAAATTTTACGAAGAAACTGAATTGGTGTATAGGTCTGGTGACGTCAGGTCATGTGACATCATTTCCTACACTAGATTTACCGGGGAAACTGAATTCGTGTTTAGGCCTCGTGAAGTAAATTTTCCGCTAAATTTAGCGAGAAACGCAACAACGAGCGGACGGACAGACAAACATTTAGAATTCAGGGGTTCGCGTTAGAAAGCATTTCATGCTTGAAAACGTGTGGGACGCTAAAGCTTTGCTTTAGCGTCCCACACGCGGAAGTCGAGGGGAAGACGATGGCGTTTCCGGGCCTCGTTCGCAAAACCTTCACATATAAACCCGTGCTCATTGACAAGCCGCGCAAGCGTGTGTGCAATGTCTAGACGGGCGCAGCTCTTAGGCGCCCGTTTCTGCGTTTCACGGCGTCGCCGTCGGCGTAACCGGCCCGCTACACTTAGCGGGAATTAGAATAGGTGTCGAGGTCGCGTGACGTCGATTTTCCAGCTAATTTTAGCATAGAACCTAAATTTGTTGATGGGTGACGTGACACGAAGTCATGTAGTGTCATTTTTCCCGCTAAATTGAGCGGGGAAACCGAATTGTTGTTGAGGCCACGGGACAAACATTTCCCTGCTAAATTTAGCGGCGAAATGTAGCCTGCGTTATAAAACGTTTTCACCTAAAATTACTGTCTTCTTGTGTCTGCCCAAAAGAAATCACTGAAATGCGCAAATATTTGAAAATTAACAAACACCGTAATATATCCACGATTTTTTGCATACACTGGAAAATCTACGGCATATGTACTACACCGTATACGTCTTGAAAGAACAAACCACTGCGAAGGTAATTTGGCAACTTATGGGAACCGATGTGTTTTCCCAATTGAGGATATTTTGGAAATAAAACCAAATGTGGCATAGACACTATTTGGATCGCCGTGTTTTGCTCCTTCACGTTTGAAATTAAGAATGGTGGATATAAATTAGTCAGATATCTTATTGCTGATCTCAAGAGGAGCTCCAACCTTCTTGCTGGACTCAAATTGAACTTCGGCGGATCAGCAGGCAAATCCACTCGATTCCTGGGCATGACCGCAGCAGTTTTTCAAGAAGAACCTGGAAGGAACCATTAAGAAATAAATACCATGCAAACTCGAGCGTGTTTTGATACTTTACATGCTACATTAAATGCAAGTGAATCTGAGAAAAACTCCTAAAGTCTTGCCAATATAAATTTTATATAATTTAAACATGGAGTTGCATGCGGGGTAATGGTGCCTTTTCGGCAACCAGAGACGCAACGAATAAACAGTAACGACATGTTGTCACTGCGTTGATATTTCTTCCCAGAATATTCATTAAAGTTTCGTTACAATTAGAGAAAGAGGACATAAGGTGAACACATCTCTTTTTAAACTTAATTTATTTCTAAAGATTTTCTATTTATTAGACCTTCAAATACATAATGAACTGTCTATATGAGCACTTATATTTATCCATACATTACCTAAGGAAAGCAGAGTATGAGAAGGTACAGAAATACATTTTACCACAAAACCTTGGCAGGCATCTTAAAAACTATTAACACAAAAGCTTTTTGACAAAAAAATATTTGTATTAACAAAACTCCAACTGAAATGACCAATATTGCAATATTACAGCGGTTACACGAAACGTTTTCCACATCCGCCTAGAGTAACCCTTTAAGCAGGTGTCGTCACCAAACCCTCTACAAAAAATTGTTGTAGCATCTATTTTGGCTTCTAGCTACATAGGATTTTTCCATAACATAGACTGGTTTTCGATGTAAGAAACCTTAATTTAATTGGTGTGGAGTAAATAAAGTTTACTGGAACTAGTTTACTAGTCCTGAAAACGACATGACTAAATATCCTAGCTTTAAGCAGTCACCGAAGAGTCGTCATTTTATAAGCAAACAGTTTCTGACTGGAACCAAACTAGTTTGCACTAGTCAAAAACACGAGACTGTTTTAATATAGAAGGTGAGCATACATCTTATATTTTCTTTCATGGTTTCGCGTAATTTACTCGAGCAAAAGTACTAACCTTTCTAAGGAAAAATGTGATAAAGATGTCTTCATTTTTATTGAAGCGCTGCACCTCCGAATACTTCAAATTTTGTGGCACTGAGACAATACGTAGGAACACAAGGCTTTCTTACTATGTGAGTGCTATTGGCTGTTGAATGAATTCGCATTTTTAGAGGCGAGTTGTGTGATTTAAAAAAAGTAATAAAGCTACGCAAAGGAATTCAGACGAGGCCATTCTCTTCTGCCCTTCATAACGAATCTACTTGGCATTGCTGGCCCGCGTTGAAGGGCCTGTTGCAACGAAAAGATTAAGAAGGGTTAGAGGAGCACGTAGCGGTATTCAAAGTACGATTATTAAAAGAGGAGGTCACGCAGACCCACGTCTAGGTTTATGCTTTCGTAGTCTTTAGTTCCTCAATAAATTGTGCCGAAACCCGGGACACTGTCCACTCATTAATTTCTTTCTTTTTCAAACGGTAGCTTGGCTCTTCTGCCAACGAAATAAATCTTAACTAATCACTATCTTACTGACGTATGCCGATTTGTAAAATCAACATCTCATCCTCGCCAGTCATTGCTTTCGGTTTCCATCTGAATTGCATGAGGACCTGAAGAAGATTAGAGTTCATATTGAGTCCTGTTTTCAAGCACTCATGCAAAGACGTGCACGCTTTGACGTAAGAAGGTGCATCAATCATAATCTTTAATGTCGCGGTGTAGTCTTCGTCCTATATATTTATTCCTTTCTACAAACTTTACCCGCACAAATACACTTATCTTTGCCGTCGCTGAGTTTTCACGGAGCACGTCTGTCTCAGGCGTGCAGTATATGACATCTATCTTTATACATTGCTTTTTGCTTGCCCAGCCAGCAGGTACTGTCTTATGGCATCACCATATTGTCTTGAATATTCGTTTGGTTTCGTGGAATTCTTCTCAAGAGGAATAATGACTAGTTGAAGAGAGCACATGGTGGTGAAATTGTGTTCAAGCATTGGACAAATCCACTCTAACTTTACTTTCACTATATTAAAACATTAGGCCAAAGTTTGTTTGAATGTGTCAGTGTTCGAAGAAGGAAAATCTAAAACAATATCAAAAATAGAATTCAAATGAAAGCCCATTGGCAGAAAAGCAGTCGCTTAAGCATGACCCATGCTCAAGCGATAGGCCATAGCATGGCGTACTCCGCAAGAAAACTTTAGTCCGGTTTTTGTTGTGCATTTTGTGAACGTTACTAAGTGAACCCGTGGTATGTTCTTGCTACTTTAATTTCACGCGCTTTCAGATCTATGAAGCTTCCGAAATTACTAAAAAAAGTAATGACACCCAAGATTTCGGTTGAAACCAAGTCACGCGACAGTTGCCTGGTCAGCAGTATCTTTTTGAGGAGTATATCAAGGAGACTTCATACACCTTCGCGTTCACGGGTACAAAGTGCGAGTGCGTAGCAAAATACATCGACGATGACTCCGTCAGTCATCACTTGAGATTCTTCATCTTCAATCGCAATCGTCAGAATAACACTATAACCTGTTGATGCCCAGTACAGCGCGATATTTTCGACGGGTCCTTAAAACGTAGTTTGGTCGTCGGCCAGAAAATGCGAGATGAGCAAAACGGAACTATGACCCTCGGCACGGACGGCTAACGTGTCTACTTAGCCTCGCTGCAGCTATAAGGCCATCTGTATCGTCTGCGGTGAGCCACGGGAAAAAAAAATTAACCAGCTCAACCTTACGTATGAGGGGCAAATTATAGGTGATTACGAAGTCAATGCAAAAAAACACCTCGCCTATGCAGCCTGTTGTGCTAGCCACTGAAACGGGTGCTCTCGCTGGCCTAAAGCTTTTTCGATAACTTCCCGCAAATGGATGCAATACTCGTAAGACCCGCAACGCAAACTGACCAATGTTGCATGCGCACGCATTACGGTTAACCTTCCTGTTGCGTTCGGGGAATGAGCACCCCCGACCTTAATTTTCTCGCATATTCAAAGTACTTGCGTGTGGTCCACAGAAACTGTTACATGCAAGCTCTTTTACCGA